TGTTTATTACTAACAATTGTATATAAGTGATTATAGAAGTTATGACAAACGTATACAAAATGATGCTTTTGGAGATTCCACAAAAATTAAACAAAGTAGAAGCCGAGCTACTCAACAAGTTAATGAGTACTTCATCAAGTCAAACAATAAAGAGACTAGAAGAAATTAGACTTAGACACTTTGATCTCAAATGTAAAGGTAAAAACACTTTAGTATTTGGCAACTACATCATTTGAAGCTAAAGAAAGTTTCTTCGCACAAAAACACAATTTTTTGCATAAATAATCTTTTCTAAGGTATGAATCTAATTATACACTTTAAGAAATGTCAATAATCTTAAAAAACAAGTTAGAAACATCCTTCATGAGATTACACCCTTTTAAAACATTAAAAGGAGGAAAGTATGGCAAGTTTGTCCAACAGTCTAGAAATTGAATGTTATGACTTCTGAACAAAAAAGGATTAGTTGAACGTCCAGTAAGCTAGAGGACATCTAGTAGCCTGGTTCAGTAAAACATAACTTTTTGACAATTTTGCTACTGTAAATATCAGATCAGTTTGCATTCAAGCATAAACCTTTGTGAGAATTAAAGTGAGATATTATTGATCTTAACTACTCAATCATTTCTCTATATTTATCTTTTCGATTTATTTATATTAGAAAAACTTTGGATTGACTCAACATTTGAAAATCATTTCATTCATCAAAGTTTTTCTTATCTAACACTTGAGCTTAAATTATTGCTATTTACTAAAGTGTTAGCCAATTTCTCTTATTATACTTAACTCTGAATATATCATTCATTACAAAAGAAGTCTCTATTTGTAAACTTTTTATTTTCAAACTTGTGGGTCGGGTAGAGGTCCCAAAAATCTCAACATTGTAAAAGGATCAATGCTCCTTAGTTGTAAGTCACCGGAAGTGTTGTAAAAAGGATTGATTGCACCATAAGTCAATCAATATAGTGAAAAAGGCCTTGCTTGTGGGGGAGAGTTTGGTAACGGGGGACGTGAATCATTGCATTGGATCGAACATCCATATCATATCATTTGACTTCTCTTCCCTTTTATTTATCATTGCTTTTATTTATTACTTATGATTTCATCTTAGTCTTTGCTCTTTTTCATATTTATGAATATTTGATTAATTGCTACACTTAAGTGAGTATTAGTTGTATACTTAGAATTATTTTTTGAAAAAGTTGCAATAACCAATTCACCCCCTTCTTGGTTAGCTAGTCTTGGACTTTCAGGTTTGTCATCGTAGAGTCACTTAGATATTTCTTCCTCATGAATTTTTTACCCGGGTTCTTCCAAACACATGTTGTCTAACTCAAATTCTTTAATGACTTGCGTCCCTCTAACCCATCCATGTCTATTTATAATTGCTGATGGTACAACATTACCTTTAGCAGGTGTTGGTTTTGTTAATGCACATAATTTATCACTTTCTGATGTCTATTATGTTCTAGCTCTTACTTTGAATATTATCTCTATTGGCCAACTGTGCGATTCTAGATACTTAGTTCAGTTTTCTTCTACTACTTGTCATGTGCAGGATCTTCAATCTCGAAAGTTGATTGGGATAGGCCATAGACAATGATGGTTATATGTTCTGGACAATCTAATTGCAGCCCTTCGTGTTGATTTGTCATCTTTTTCTTTGAATTCTCCCTCTTCTAGTTTTTATTGGTGGCATTCTCGATCTGGACATGTTTCCGCTAGTCGTTTGAAATTTTTAGTTTCTAAGGGTCAATTGGGAAATATACAAGCTCATGATATTTTTTATTGTAGTAGTTGCAAATTAGCAAAATTTCTACTTTACCTTTTCCTCGAAGTATTTCTCATTATATTGCACCATTTGATCTTATTCACTCTGATGTGTGGGGACTTGCTACTATTGCTACAAAAGGAGGGCCTTGATATCATATGTCCTTTCTTAATGATTATAGTTGTTATTGTAGAAACTGCTCGTTCACTTCTCTTGTCATCCAAAGTTCCCAGTGAATTTTGGGAAAAAGTAGCCCTTACTACTATTTCTATAATTAATAAGATTGCATCTTCCCACACTTCAGGTTTATCACCCTTTGAAATATTATACGGGCATCCTCCGAATCACTTTTCATTGAGAGTCTTTAGTTGTACTTGCTTTGTTCTTCGTCTTGAAGTCCAACGTAGTAAGTTGACATCTCGCTCTGCTATCTGTGTTTTCTTAAGTTATGGGCAAGTGAAAAAGGGTTATCGCTGTTTCAATCCCATAACTAATAAATTATATGTTTCTCGTCATGTCATGTTTTTTTAGCACATTCCATTACTCTCTATTTCTGGTAATACTCATGACGTGACTAAAACTGATCTCATTCATATTAATCCATTCTCTGATAATATAACCCGTCCACCTTCCCATATCTCATGTACCGTAGATTCTTCTTATCCTGTAGGTACACATGCTCTAGTTCATGACACCCCTCCTCCTTCTATGGATTCCCAAGCACCACCCGAGATTGTTGATTCAGCTCCAGATCCATCTCTTCCTCGATATCCTCAACGTATTCATAAGTCCACTCAGTTACCCGATTTTGCTTATTCTTGTTATTTCGAGTCCTTTTGTTGCTTTCTAGCCTCCATTCATAAGTTATCCGAACCATCTTCCTATAAATAAGCTATTTTAGATCCTCTTTAGCAATAGGATATGGCTGATGAACTCTCTGCTCTGCATAAGACAGACACTTGGAATTTGGTTGCATTGCCTTTGGGTAAAGATGCTATTGATTATCGTTGGGTTTATAAGATTAAAACCAAATCTAACGTTTTAGTTGAGTGCTACAAGGATAGAGTGGTTGCTAAAGGTTTTAATCAACAGTATGGTTTCGATTATAAGGATATTTTTGTTCCTGTTGCCAAGATGACCACTGTTCGTATACTTATTACAGTTGTATTTATTTGTCAGTGGAGCCTCTCTCAATTGGACGTAAAAAATGCCTTTTTAAATGGAAATTTTTAGGAGGAGGTTTACATGGTCCCTCCTTCTGGTCTTTCTCACTTTCCTGGATTTGTTTACAAGCTCAAGAAAGCACTTTATGACCTCAAACAAGCACCTCGTGCCTGGTTTGAGAATTTTTTCACTGTTATTACGTCTCTTGATTTTACATCGAGTCATCATGACAATGTTCTATTCTTATGCACTTCAGCTGGTCGCATTCTATTATTTCTATATACTGACGATATGATTATTACTGGTAATGATGTTGATAGAATTGCAAATTTGAAATCAGAATTGTCTTGTCGTTTTGAAATGAAGGACTTGGGTCCACTATCTTATTTGTTTATGTATTGAAGTTACTTCTTCTCCTAGAGGTTATCTTATCTCTTAGTCTAAGTATACTATGAATGTTATTGAGCGTGCCCGCCTTCCTGATACTAAAATTATTGATACTCTGACGGTGTACCATTGACTGATCCTACCTTGTATCGCACTATTGTTGGATGTTTCGTTTATATGACCATCACACGTCCTAACATTGCTTATGTTGTTCACATTGTTAGTCAATTTTTCTCAGCTCCTACTATAGTTCATTAGGCAACAGCTGTTCGTATTTTGCGTTATCATTATAGTATATGCTTTCAAAGTCTTTTGTTCCCATCGACCTCATCATTAGTTCTTTGTGCCTACTCTGATGCAGATTGGGCTAGCGACCCCATTGATCATAAGTCCACTACTGATTTTTGTATATTTTTGGGTGATTTTCTTATCTTTTGGAAAAGTAAGAGGTAAACTATTGTTTTCTGTTCTTCTACAGAGGCAGAGCATCGAGTTATGGCATCCACTATCACCGAGATTGTGCGGTTGCAATGGTTACTTGTAGGCATGGTTATTCCTCATTCTTCCCCAACTCCTATGTATTGTGATAATACTAGTGCTATTCAAATTTCTCACAACTCTGTGTTTCATGAATGCACAAAGTATATTGAGATTGATTGTCATTTGGTTCGTCATCATCTGCAGACTGGCACCATCTCCCTACCTTTTGTATCTTCATTATTCGAGCTTGTCGATTTTTTTCACTAAGACTCATCCGGTTCATCGTTTTCGCTTCTTACATGACAAATTCTCCCTACTTCTTGCTTTAGCATCATGAGTTTGAGGGAGGATGATAATATATATATTTATTTATTTGATATTTATTTATTTATTTCCTTATGTTAGCTTTCCTATTTTTCAAGGTTTCCTTGCAGCATAAAACCTATTTTTATTTCATTGTAAAACCCTAGTTTTTTTTTTTTTTTTTTTTTTTTTTTTTTTTTTTTTTTTTTTTTTTTTTTTTTTTTTGCTTAATAGGTTGAGGTTTTGTTTCTTCATTCTTCTTCTTCTCTTCTCTTTTCTTCTCTTGAATTGATTCAATACAATTGTTTGAGATAGTTCGTATTATTATCAACATTTAGCAAAAATTTTGGTTCTATCATAAAAAAAATAATAATAAATTAATTTGACTCAATTTAATGAGTGAATATAAATTTTTATCTCAATTTGGTCACTTAATATCAAGACTATGATAATGTCTTTAGATCAAAATTCATTCCTTTTCTTGTCTTTCTATTTTAACACTTACAATGTTGATTTATGGTTAGTTGACATGTCACTCATAGATTATATAAATATCTATTACGGTATGGCCTAATTAAAATAGTTTAATCAATTTGGGATACAACAAAGTAATAATTTAATTGAGACAAATTAAATTCTAAAATTTTATCAAAATTTTGTTGAAGGATTAGTGATCACAAATAAAAATCACCCCATCACGACCCCTAGCTGGTCTAACTTCAAAACCCAATAAATAATCATTCTTCTACTCGATGAATAAACTAAAATTACACTAATATCCATTAGTTAATAATATTGAAAATAATCTTTCAAAACAAATATTGAAAAATGCCAAATTGCTCACTTTAATGTTTGCATGCAAGGAACAATTTTCTATCTCAACTAACTACAAACATTAATCGATGGAATGGCTCAGATAAAAGTACACCATCCAGCAATTGAACAATTTGATGTGATATTTAATATTTCCGCAAAATTACATGATCAACAGTTTAAATTCTTAGAAAAATTGCAAAAAATGGCATTCTTCTCTTGATCGAAGATTTTCACATTCTGTCCTCAAGTGCAGATCCAGCAACTTGGCAACCAAATTTACTCACGTCATTCGATTGGAGGAGAAGGTAAATAAAAGTCCGCAGTGGAAGCTGCAAAATTACTTGTACTCGAGCCACCCACAACGCGATGTGTTTGTGTAATTGATTGACCAGGTGGAATTGGCGACGACTCTAATTGGGCATTGGACGAATCGCCCAAAAGAGAATCCATTATATTATCATCCAATGGCTGTAGAAAACCAAATAGAGACGAAAAATATGGAGTCGTGATATCCAAGAAATCACCATAATCACCATTAATGTGTGTAATAGGTTGATACTGATCAGTGCTTTGAACACTAGTCTCAGGTGGAATCAAAGGATTATACTGATCATTGCTTTGAATACCAGTCTCAGGTGGAATCGAAGGATAATACTGATCACCAGGAATGTGCGCAAGAGGTTGAGGGAATTGAAGAATATTACTTTGCAATTGCATTGCCACTTCTCCATGCGTGTACGTAACAGGTTCATGGACCAACTGATATTGATCGTTTATGCTTGCTTGCGGGTCGGAAAGATAAGCACCATGCAAGGACGACTGATCAAAGGCCAGTGCAGGATTGTGATGATGATAAAACGATGCTGCTGCCAAATTTGCATCGGGGACATCAGTTTCTTGAATTAGGATCATGTTTCTTTGCGTGTCTTGCTCTACGTTTTTGCTCGATTTTGATGTTCTATAGTAAATTCTATATACGCACTTATCCAACTGCAAAAATATGAAACAAATTCGTGTTACAAAAATATCAAAATTTATGAATTGTTTGATGGGTTTAAAAAATAAATAAAAAAGAGAAAAAACCATCAAGAATCATTGGTTAAAATTTCAATTCGTATATATATATATATATATATATATATCACCATCAATTTTCAATTAAAGAACCCTATATGGGCTTTCAAGCAATTATTCAAACAACAATAATAGACGAACGGAATTAATTAACTAAAGAATCTGAAAGCTTTTACATACCGTCTTGTCATCTGGAATTGCATTTGCAGAATAACATGCGACGTCCTTCATTTGATGAATCGTAAACTCATGCATTATCCAGTTAGTCTTTGTTCCTTTATTGTTATTATCAGATTTTCTTTCATAATAGACAAGCACCTTTTTCCGTCCAACTTCTTGGCCTTTACTTTGTACAATGATGTCGCCCCCTGTGGCTTTCCAGTAACCATCAGCGGCAGTCCGGTCCGGCCTACTACCTTTATGATACTTCCTAGTTCTAGAAGTAAAAAAGTAGCATTCACGTGTTCCACTCGTCACGCTTTCTGATAATCACATTAATAAATTCCAAAGAATGTAAATATAAAAGATAACTGAGGAAGATAATATAAAAATAACCACCAAGAAACATCAAGAAATAAAGAAACTTACGGCAAAGATTGCTGGGATGGTACTTGTAGAGATCAACATCTTTTATGGCATCATCGATATATGTTTATTCAGAATTTTGAGGTTCAAGTAGTGTAACAGCTCCTTCTCTGTCGGCATGAAACGGTAACCAGGCGGGATAGTTTCTTCAACATGAAAATTAGAACTTTCTTGTGCGGCCATGGCAACGTGTTTGCCTTTGTCAATTGTTTCTGGATGTATGGATGTTGTATTGATCATGAGTATTATTTAGAGTAGTTATGTAGACAGATGGATAGAGTTAGAAGAGGATTAAAATTCTAATAGATTTAGGTCCTTAAAGTATCTCCACGTGTCAGTCATTCATCTCTTTTCAATTATGTGCATAACTTGCTTACTAGTTTACTCGTTAAAAGAGGAATAAAATTCTGATATTTCTCACTCGTTTACTAGTTTTTATTATTAATTTGTTTCCTAATTACATTGATTTCCTTTCTCTATGACAAGATTAAATGTGGAGACATAATACCACCTTATACTTCAACGTTTTTTCTTCTCCCCCGTGTGTATATATGATTTAATTAATGATAGGAGAAAACTATTTAGAACTAACATGTTTAAAGTTATCTAATGAGTTCTGCACACCAAGTGTTATGTTTCTTAACTGGTTGATGATTCTTTAATGTCACTAATTTACTAACTATGATAAAGTTAATACTAGATTTTTAGTAAATTTTGAATGAGTTCAAGTGATAAAAATCATTTTATCTTTCAAAACTGTTATTCACGACCAAATATTGAGTTTGGTCATAGAAAATAGATGATGAAAAATCAAATTTCAAAGTAGTTGGACATATCTTGCAATGACCAAAAAATAGTAGTTAATTCTAAATTTTGTAATTTGATCATTGTGAGTGGATGCCAAATCAAAAATTCCCGCCAAAATATCTGTTCTTATTCAATGATAATGTAATTGGTTGTTAAATGCACTAAAGTTATAGTAAACATTCAACGACCATGTGTGGCCACTAATAGAGTAAAACAGCAATTAATTCTATCTTACTATTGAAACTAAAGAAAAAATCAATATTCAAGGACTACTTTCGTAATAGTCGTTAACGTTGACATTTTAACGATTGATTATTTTAATCTATTAAAGTTAATGACAACCTAATTGCAAATTATCATTTGACTTTTGACGTTTAACGACTACTATTACATAACCTTTGATGGTGAAATTGTAAAAAGTATTTTAAAAAATTTCAAGTCGACTATGCCCTTCCGTAACTATTTATTTTGGTTGCTCTATCTCATTTAAATAAATAAATAAATAAATAAGTAAATGAGGGGGTGCTCTGAACCCACCCTGCTCCAAACTTAACCGTGGCACAAGGAAAATATGAAAGAAAATCCTTGATTGGACAGTACAAAGAATGGTCGAGAATGGCACTAAATCCAACTCATTGCTAATAAGAGTGAATAAGGCTATATTGACAGGGCTAATTCACCATCTTTACAATATCCATTTTGTTGAAATTTCATGTTTAACAATGAAAGCAAGTAATGTTTAGCACACAATTTGAAAGAGCTAGTTTATAAATAATGTTCAGCATCCATTTCGTGTAGTTCTTACTGCTATTAAAATAAATGAGGTGCGTGCTCGAAAGGCAGGATGAATATATAATATCGCTTTTATTGTCCATTTAATTAATTAATTAATTGATATTAATATTTTTTAAGTAAAATTCAATTTTAAATTTAAAAAAAAAATAACAAGATTTAGAGCGAGATCGAGAAATTTGAGCGAAACTAATAAGTGTTATTCTAAAATTATTTGAGTCATCAAAAGTTGACGTTTTGGAGTGCTTTTATAGAATTTATAATCACCTTTGTTTGTATGTGGATTCATTTTGGAGAAACCCCATGTTAGATCATTTGAAAATGAGCAAAAATTAGATAAAAATGTCTTAGATTGAGCATATTATAGATGATGAAGACCAAAGCATCAAAATTGGAAATATAGAGAACTTGAAATGAAATAAAAATAATAATAACAAATAAAATTGTACATACGAAATAGTGAAGACGAGGACCAAATTAAAAATAAAGAAAAACATGTGATTTATTCCCTTTTAATTTATTTTCCTTATCCATGTCAAATTTTCTAGGATTGTACTACATGTATATAACAATTTATGTAATGGTTCACCAACAGATGGTGTGGCAGCATTTAATTGGATCAAAATCTTATCAATCAAATAATTTCCCTATTTACATTTTAATACTTCATCATTATGTAAGTAGTAATGTACAAGAAGCATTTTCCAATTCCTTAATTATGAATAATATTATTTACAGTCCCTCGTATCACAGTCATCCTCCATTTTTGCGTGCACCAAATTTTGTGAGCTCTCTATGATCCACATAATGCTGATGATGTAAGATATTGTACGAATTGAAGAGAAGTCTATATTTCATTTTTTGTTTAGTCTACACGCCTTTTGTGGACGTTGCTTTGGCCAGCGAAAATAATTGATGATCGAGACTTGTTGGAGAAAACTCAATTATTCCGTTTGAAGAATTATATTTTGCTCTTTAGTGTATCAACTTCTCTCTTGTTAGTCCTAAAAAATAATTATAGTAAAAAGATCAAAAGTATACACGACGGAGAACAAATGGTAGCAGAAGTTAGAGCTTTTGGATGTCGTGTAGGGCCGTTGGATCTCTTAAAGATAAAAATGCAATAATTCATACATCAAAAGATCCAAAGATTCATACAATTGTCGTGAATATACACGACGGAGAACAAATGGTAGTAGAAGTTAGAGCTTTTGGATGTCGTGTAGGGCCGTTGGATCTCTTTCTATGTGGTTGTAGAATTTCAAATCCTTGTGCAATTTTTATTGTAACTATAGGGTAAAATAATAGAGTGATGATAATATATTCACGACAATTGTATGAATCTTTGGATCTTTTGATGTATGAATTATTGCATTTTTATCTTTAAATAGGACTTATTTATTTTTGTGGTGTATCGATGATGGTGATAGAATTAACTATAAATATATATAAGTTAATAATAGATGTGATATTTATGTCATTTTACTCATGATTATTTAAGTAAATAAAAAAAATTATAGTGTGTCAAACACTTATTGTGGTGGTAACATAACCACTAATTATTTAACTTATATTTGAGTGTTAAAATTACAGCTGAGTGCTTAATTAATTTTGATGTTTCATATGCAAAAATGGGTATTTATCCTTTATTGTTGCAGAAGATGCAGTGTCACCTTGAAGGACTATAGAATAAAACCTTAACTTATAAAATTTTCATTAGATAAAGAGGGAAAAAACCCTTAAACATCCTTGATGAATAAACTAAAATTACACTAATATCCATCATCAAATCATATTGAAAATAATCTTTCAAAACAAATATTGAAAGATGCTAAATTATTCACTCTAATGTTTCATGCATGAAACAAATTTCTCTCACAACTACAAATATTAGTCGATATATTGGCTCATATAAAAGTTAAGTGACTTAACTGAGATTTCACTTAAAATTCAGTGACCAAATCATCCTCCAATATGATTTTCTAGCAATATTTTCAACCTCGTATCTATCAAAGAATGAAAAATAGAATATAGCATTGGCTCAACCTCGTATTGTCAATGGTAAATTTCATCCATCACTGAACATTTGGTAAAAATTTTGATTCTGTCCAAAAAAAAAAAATAATAATAATAATAATAATAAATAAATAAATAAATAAAAATTGATTTGACTCAATTCAATGAGTGAATATCAATTTATTCTAGTGTTATCACATTTTATCTCAATTTGATCACTTAATATCAAGACTATGATAATGTCTTTAGATCAAAAGTCATTCTTTTTCTTTTCTTTCTATTTTAACACTTACAGTGTTGCTTTATGATTAGTTGAGATGTCACTCATAGATTATATAAAGATTTATCGCGGTATGGCCTAATTAAAATATTTTAATCAATCAGGGATATAACAAAGTAAGAGAGGGAAAACTAAAATTGAAGATTAACGACACGATAAAACTAAATTGAAGCTAATAATTTAATTGAGACAAATTAAATTCTAAAATTTCTTTAAAATTTTGTTGAAGGATTAGTGATCACAAATATAAATCACTCCATCACGACCCTTGTCGGTCGGCATGAATTGGTAATGAAGCGGAATTTTTTCTTCAACGTGAAAAGTAGAACCTTCTTGTGCGGCAATGACAACGTGTTTGCCTTTGTCCATTGTTTCTGGAAGTAATAGTAGAACTAAATGTAGGGATATTGTACTGATTATGAGTATATATGGAATGAGTTAGAAGAGGATTACTATTCTGATAGAGTTAGGTCATTACACTTTCCATGCACAATCTTTGTCTATCATTCATCTATTTTCAAATTTTACGTCTCTTAACTAATTGGTGATACTTTATTATTTTTAATTTACTAATTAGTGATTCAGTTAACATATGATTCAACTTAATATTAGAGTTTTAGTAAATTTTAATAAAATATCGTATGGTAAAATTTAATTAATGAGTTAACTAAATTAAATAGGTAACTAATTTGTTTTTGAGATCAATATATAAAACTTCATATCATCTATACATTAATCCATTTTGTTTAAATAGGATTTAAATCGCACGTTTTTCTCATGTTAACTACCAATAATTTTTAGCATCAAGGCAACCGTGAAACTAGTTTTGACATGGTTTGATTGGATGATAACATTTATTAACCGTGAAACTAGTTTACATAATGGGCAATGACACTAGGGCCAAATTAATGCATAGATCGTATGTAGCTTTTTATATTGTTCTCATGAACATTCTAGGTATTAAAATTTTATATTTAATTAGGGATGACAAAAAAAATCCGTCAAACCCAATATTCGTGAAGCCAGCTCTGAACTGGACGAGAATTACTCACTTAATCAGGTATTTGGGTCAGGGACAAGGTGGGAGACTTCACCCCAGGGCAGAGCACGGTTACTAAGGGCTTCGTCTCATCCTGTTTAATCTTTTTTTTTTCAAGAATTCAATAGTTTTAATGAAAAACTTTACGAAATTTCATTCGTTCTAGTAGAAGATGGCAACTAAAATTATCTAAAGAATATGACAAATAATAGAAGCCTTAGTTTATTAAATATATTTGAATAATTTTAATTTTAAAAATAAATAAATAAATTTAAAAAATTAATAAATATTAAGTT